CATTTATACATACACACAAATCAAATGTTGCCCTTATCTCTCTCTGTCACCTGTGTGTGTGAAGGTGTGTTAATCTTTTGTTAGCCCATGCTGCGTGCGTCACACAATCCCTACATACTCTGCCATTCTGAAGCATTTTAGGATTGAATTCCTTGCTAAAGGGCTCCAACACTAGTGGCAGTGTGTTGTGTTGTAATATAGTCCTGCTGTAGTCTCTCGTTGTAGCTCCTACTCTCCATTCTTCTAACTCTTCTCCCTTTCCCTGTTTAACTCAAAGACAACAAGATATCTGAACTCCACGAGTTGTCAAACTGCACAAACACAACAAAAATGTGAGTGCAGTATATGAGTACTTGCTAATTTAGGGAGTATTTGACAGCCGCTATAGGTGTTTGTCACTTTGGCTGTAGAGACTATAGGGTATAAATCCATTAACAAGCTTTAATTAAGTGTAAGCACAGAGCTGCATCCTGACCTGCAGAAAGAATAGCAAAGTACAAAATAACAAAATTAGATTAAAAATTAGAAAAACTGCAGAATAAAGAATTAAAATCTCAGAATTTGTGTTTTTATATTTGTGCTTTGACCCAATATAAATAAGTGAAAATGGAAGGTATGGTGGCAATATTTGCAAACTTCTGATTTTACTTCAAGACAATCATCAAAACAGACAAAGAAGCAACAGCTAATAAATAGCAGGCGTGCCATCAGTTAGGCTGATGTCATCGTGTAGGTCTACATAGCATGTGATACTCAGAAACAGATTCACAAGCTATGCTCACAAGATTATTCAAACAGAGGTGAACATTTAGACAACACTTTAGATGGAGGGCCCTTGGTAGATGTAAAATAATAAATAAACAGCAGCACCAACATCACACATGGAACATCAACTAGACCAGCTCTGAGCTCAAAGTTTCATGCCTTTGTTGAGGTGATGCAACCATTAATAACTGACTGCTTGTGCTGCATTCAACCTGACTGCTGGTCATAAAACCAACTTATAGGTGTATTACCACAAATGGACTGGTGAGGCGCATTACATCGTGTTGAAATGGGAAGTGGGATAGACTTAGCTCTGAATACCAAAGCAATACAGGGAAATGTGTGCATTGAGGTGAATGGAATGAAATGAAGACCTGCAGTGTGGGAGATGCTCTGACCCAGTCATCTCACCAGCATAGTTTGGCCCTTGTCAGAGACACTTAGATCCTTACACTTGCCTGTATTTCCTGCTTCCAACACATCAACTTTGAGGACTGAATGTTCACTTGCTGCCTAATATACCCCAAACACTGACAGGTGTCACTGTAACAGATGGTCAGTGTTATTCACTTCACCTGCCAGTGGTCATAATGTTATGCCTGATCGGTGTATGTGCTCATGTGTGGCTACTGGGACAGCTCGAATGTAGCTGTTTTTATAATATCTTGAAACTTTCCTTTTGTTGGACATTGCAAGTGTCACCTTTATCTTTGGGTTTTACTTTGCCAGAGGACAAAGTTACAGTATCTTACTCGCTTTTTTGCCAGGAGCTAGATTAGAAGACCAACATCATTCTCATGTCTGATGGGTAAATGAATGAAGCTACTGCCAACATCTGGTTATCATAAAAACTGTAAACAGCTAGTCAAACTATTCTGTTATATACAGTACTTCATAGTATTACTGTTACATCCCAACTCTTGACAACATTGAATTATTTAAATAAGTATTACACTAACTTGGTGCAGGAACCTGATCCCAAAGCCATCTAATACATAAACTCAAGAACCTCAGCCTCCCACAGAGCAAACTCAGTCCTTCATTTACAGGCTTGTAAAGCTGTCCACAGATTCGCTGCCCTTGCACAAACACCTGCTTTTGATGTTTCTTAGCATCTTTAAGAGCCCTTGTGTGCTGCTGATCTGTGTTGCACCAGTACAACACAGAGCTACCAGAGAAAAGAAACACCTTTGGAGAAAGAGAGAATAAGAATAAGAGTGGGGAAGCTTGAGTGAGAATAAAGACAACAAAATGAATGAAAGCAAAAGTGAAGTCACTGGAATAAGAGGAATAGAGCTTGAAGACAGTTGGAAAACGCTGACATGTGAGTGTGTGTGTGTACAGCACTCTGTGACGCACCTGTGCTGACTGAAATTTGTCAATGGTGGACATCCCACGCCTGACATCTCATGAATTTCTGTGTTGCCTGGCAACCATTCCGACCTCTCTATCTGTATCCCTTTCTTGAATCTGTTCATTATCTTTCTCTCCTCTCTGTTGTGTTTCAAGGTTTATACCAGTAAGGTCTGAACTTCTGTTTTAAAGTCAACACTGCAGAGGAAACCTCCTCCTCACACTCTGACGTCAGTCTGTGCTCACGTGGCGATGGTGGGAGGAAACCCGTGGCTGGCCGGTGACGAAAATTCACAACAGCAGAATTTCCTTATGCAGGCACGTATACCCACATGTGCGCGCGCGCACACACACAGATGTTTATGTTTGTGTGTGTGTGTAACAACATGCTAAATTCAATAGCCTGAGACAGAGTGTACTTGGTTTTTCTCAATAACAGTCAGTGTGTACCACCTACACACAGACACACACCCTAAATCCATAGCTAATATCCATACATTCATATAATTTGTACATGCACCTGCTCAGGCTTGTGCACACTCACATACATACACAAAACAAATGCCAAAGCACACTTTAAATACACTGCAATAACAGATCCTGCCAACCTCAAACTAGTGAGAAAAGCACAGATAAACTCTACAAATCTCTTTGTAGGATTCACGTATGTCCCAATCACCAGTAATGAGAAGTTGATTGGAGATAAGTGGGTTACAAAGGTTAACACTCTTCTGCTGAAATATACTGTGAAAGAAAAAAGAGGCAGAAAGACAGATGAACATGAGCTGGAGAGGGATGACAAAAAAAAAAACAAGGAATAAAAATAGGCTGATCTATGTTGTGGGAAGAGAAGAAGGAATGAGATGGAAATGGTGCAGAAGACTACTGGACTTGGTCCATTCATCCTCAGGGATACAGAGGCTTCTACACGCTACACACTTCAGGCATGATAAATTAGCACACAGCTGACACTCAGTTTCTCTCTACACTAATCATTCTGTTCTTTCCTTCTTCTATCTTCTTCTATTAAACACACACGCAAACTCAAGACGATGCCACACCAAATTCAGAGACATGGTAGTACCAGTGTATGTGTGCGCTTACAGGTATATTCAAACATCTGAACTGCACAGAGCTTCTTTTGTCCCTTCACCAACACATTAGCACACAGCCACAGTCATCCAGGTGTGAACCTCTGCCAGCTAGTCAGGCAGGCTGCCAACGTACAAGACAGAGGGTCTGTTGTGTTGTAAATGTCAGATGTCCAGCTGTTTGAGCCAGGATGCATCTCACTGCTAAACACTCATCTCCACACATTTAACGTCACTTACATGCACAGCACAAAGGGCTGAGGGGGAGAAAGGAAGAAAAGTAGAAAAAAAGTCAAATAAATGAGTTCACAAAAGTGGAGACAAGAGACTTGTGTCACAACCTTAATTTAAAAGTATAAATTTTATGTTCAAAATCCTTTCAAGTGCAACTTACTGCTATAGCCCCTAAACCCATACAAATGTTGAACACTACATTTTCCATCTTTTTTTAATGGCAAGTGATCTATACGTTTTCATAAAGAATTTTCATTTGCTTGTACTCATTTTTCTGGTAGATGAGCATGATAATTAATTTCTGGATAATACAGCAGACACATTATGAACTACTGTGTGGTTCAGAATTGTTTCCAGACTTTTTCCAGACGTGATTCTGCTGGTTTCATCAGCTCAGAACCTCTAGCATGCACCGGGGCAGCTTACAGCCAAGTGTGAAGCAGCTGAGATGAGAATCAGCACCTCCACATCTGCTGGAAAACGATGGATTGCCCCCTTCGGGCTGGGAATGAGTTGCCGTCCGATGGGCAGATTGGTGCAGCATCAGCAGTAATGCGGGTGTTGTACCATCAAATCTCTCTCAATCTACTATCTGTGTTTCAACCCACACCTATGGTCATGAGTTTTAGGTAGCAACTAAAAGAACAAGATTGTAAATATGAGCGGCTGAGTTTCCTCTGTAGGGTGGCTGCACTCAGCGTTAGAGATAGTGTGTGGAATTCAGACACCCAGAGGGAGCGTAGAGGAGAGCCATGTCAAAAGGAGTTAGTTGAGGTGGTTCGAGTATCTGATTAGGATGCCTCCTAGGATTATACATCTCATTTAGCCTGGGAAAGCAAAGGTCCACCCGGAGGAAATGGAAAACACTACTGGGGAGAGGGACACTACTGCCCTGGTGACCCAACCACAGATAAAGTCACTTTTGGCTTTTCCCGTTTAGGGGTCGCCACAGCGAATCGTCACACTGATGACTCGCATGTTGACATTTGGCACGTGCTTTATGCTGGATGCCCTTCCTGACACAACCCTGATTCAACCATAGATAAGGGGTTGATAATGGACGGATAAAATAAGCCCTAATCATAAATGTAAAAGAGGTCAAGAACTAAAGAGATGAGTAGATTTTTGGAAATTTCCGATAAGGACAGAGGAAGTGAAGATAAAAGATACTGCAGACCAAATAAGAATGAGCGTAAGAAGGAAACAGATACTGAACAGAGAACCCAGAGCTGCCAGGAGAGCCAGTTTCTCTAGTGACGGCTCATTTACTGCGTTCCCAAGGTAACCAGGGCAAGTATTCACTGAACAATGGCAATATCACTAGCCTGTAATTGTGATGTATTGAAGCAGTGTCTGCTACACTCTCTACACAATGTGACAAACATATATGTTGATTATGAAGTTACATGATGATGTTATACAAGTTCCATTATGCAAGCACTGAAAATATATTATTATGCAAAGTAGCAGTAAAACTATTCTCTATAATTTAAGTGAGCAGATAAATAGTAGGTAAACTCAGGCTCTGAGTGCACATCTGTGTGAGTGTACGTGTACCTGTGAGGGGCTGGAGAAGCCAAGGTTGCGGCAGCCATTGCAGGGGGTCAGGGCTTCCCAGAGTCCAGTGGGGCCGCAACCTTTTTCGGTCTCATCGTCCTCTGGGGCTGTGGCAAGAGGCGGGGTTGGCCGCTGTGAGTCAATGCCAAAAACAAGTCAGTTCCCAGGCTGCCCACACAACTGCCAAGTAATAGCAATGAGGTCAAAGGTCAGAGGATCCATGTTTTTGCCCTGACTAAGCTTCACCTGTACTTGTGTTAGACAAGCAAAGAACACCAAGAAACCCAAATTTGGGCTTACATTTGTCAGTGTTCCAACCACAGCTGCACTGGGATTGTATAATTGTTCTGTATCTGCCAGATTTGTAAGTAATTGTTGGCTAGAACATTTACATAAATCACTTTATAAGGTGATGTAATATCAGTGTTCTTTAAAGCTTGTGTTGCCCTAAAAAATTAAAATGCAGATGAAGCAATCTTAAAACCATGTTAATAGAGTCAGAACAAACAATTAACAAGCATTCATAAAACATTTTTCAGTGAATTGATTTCATTTTGAGGTTTGATTATTTTTCTGCTAAAAGCAAAAACAAAACTCTGCAGGTTGGATGAGATACAGTAACTGTCCTCTGTTCAAACCCAGGTCTGTTCAATTCAGGTTTTATTTACTTGACACAAATATGCTGCAGCTTCAGTCCCAAACGTTGCTGCTGATTTCAGAAAGATCCTGAAATAAGTGAACCACCATTTAAAGTAAAATGTCTGTGCATTACTGCTCGAAGAGCCACACTGAGTTAGTGAGAGAGGATGAAAGTACAGGAATAGCAATAAAAGACACACACACACACACACAGTGTCCTTTCCCGGGGCGCTTTGTCTCCCAGGAGGCAGGTGTGTGGATGAGCTCTGTGGCGTCAGGGCCAGAGGGCAGATACAGCCCACCTGACATCAGTGAACCATATGATGCAGCAGAGGAAACAGGTCACAACAGATTACATAGAGCAATATAACTGCAGTGTCTCATATGTAGCTTTAACAAGCAGCAGCAGCAGGAGAGGAGGAGGGGGCAGAGACTGAGAGAAGTCTAATGATGTCACAAGCAAAATTCTTTTAAACCAAATAAACGTACAAAGAAAACAAGGAAATGAGGGGAAGGATTAAGAGAAAAAAGAAGAACATGTTTGGAGAAAAAAAAACTCAAGAAAACTGAGAAAAAAAAGTGAGAGAAGATAGAGGGAGAGAGGATAAACGGGAAGAGCCTAAAAATAAATAAATATATAAAAACAGCAGTAAGACTGGAGACAGAGGCAGAAAATAGGGCTGAAAGCAAAAGGTTACCAATTGCTCCAAATTAAAAGGGGCCGTCTGCAACAGTGGAATATTGATTGATATGAACCGACTGCTGTCTTGACACACAATCATAAACACACACTGCACTGTATGCATGAACAATAGACAGATATATCCTTTCATTAGAGTTCAAATCAAATATCAGCCAGTGGTCGATAGAAAGAACACCATTAATTATTCATAACTGAGGACTGAATAACTGATCAATATGAGATGAGTTGTTTATGGGAAACCCTTAAAGGGACAGTTTGACATTTTGGAAAATTCCACTACTTAACTGAATTGTGCATTTTTATGCCTGTGTGTGTATTTAGAAGGCTTATTAACAAACAGGCTTGGTTTATTTAAAGAAGGAAACAAAAAGTTGACCTGAACTGAATGTTCATTTATTAAAATTTTACAAAAAGACAGAAAATTCCAGGCATAGTTTACTGTAAACATGGATCTCTTATGAAATACAAGACCTTCAAAACAGGCTAAAATAAACAATAAACAGCTAAACTAAAGATATTTTTTGCTGATGAGTAAATTAAGTAAAAGTAAACTAAATTGTTTTATGCAAACCATTCTTACAGGTGTCCCAGTTCTGTTTGTACAAAGACAGTGCTGAAAAAGACTTTTACTAAATGCTCAGGAACTGGAAACAGGCCATTAAAGGTTAAGGCTGGTCATTTTCTATGTTAGCAGTATTTTCAACACTGCCCATACAAAGACTAAAACCGACAACGAATTGCCTCTACTCACAGTTAATGTCCATTAGCTGTCAGTCCTGGATTAGCTTGTTCGTCTCTACCACAGACCTCTGTTGTTGTTCAAAAACAATTAAAAACAATGCTGCACTGAATGGCATGTTTATTCATTAGCAAACACCAGACCTGAGCATGAGGAGCTAGCAAACTGTAAACAAAACTGAGAGCTCACACACTAACTTCAGGATACCGTGGCTACTTAAAGCCTTCGGGGCAACATAGCAGGGGTCTCGTGCTTCATAATGAAGGAATGTGTCACCCAGTGCAGCAGTGTTTTTTAATCATTTTTGAACAACAGAGGAGATCTATTGCACAGACAAACAAGCTAACCCAGGACTGACACCTCACAGGTGTGTTTAGCTGTTGAATTACAACAATAACTGGAAAAATTGAGGTGCCATGCCAGTATTCCAGCTGCATCAGCTCTGCAAAACAAATACTGTATTTGCTTAAACCTTAATGAACACCTACTGTACAGCAGGTACAAATCAGAATACAGGACACCCACACATGCATTTCAATTATTGCTTAGTTTATACACGATGGCTCCAAGGCAATGTCAGACACATGCATTTCCCCTGTGTGAGCCATCGTGGGTTTTTGCACATTTCATTCATATGTAATAGGCGCGCTGCTACACCAACCGCTCCAGCCACATGTACAGTAACACATAAAGACACCTACACACTGTGAATGGAATAAAATACACATTGGCACTTAGAGAGAGGGAGAGAAAATGGACTGAAATAAATACAGAACAAGTGATCGGAGGTGTGTGTGTGTGTTCATTGTACATGCACATGTGAAAGCCTTAGCAGGTCAGAACTGCACTGTACTGTACATACAGTAAACACAACTCAGTGTGCTTTCACATTGAGCTTATTACCCAAACGGAAAAGATGATGAGCTACTCATCAGTGTCACAACAGTCCTACCAGAGAGGTGTGTGTAATGTGTGTTGTGTTTCTGTAAATGAAGGCCAAGGAGAGAAATGGAAAGAAAAATAGAAGCGGACATTCCATAATAAGCAAGTGAGAAACACAGACACACACTATCACAGTTCTCTGGATACTTTGCTGTATATGTGTGAGTGTGTGTGTGTGTGTTGGAACAGGTATGTGTGGTCTAAAGGCTCAGGTGGGGGGTCAGTGTGATTGATGACCTCTGTGTCCTGTGGTGCATCTGACTTTGTGGACAGTGGAATTGAAAAAGCTCAGAGCCTCTTCATCACGCTGCGCTGGCTGTTAGAAATGAACTGCAGCTGTGATTCCCTGGGTCTACTAATGCTGATAAAAGTCAGCTCTTTCCCCTCAAACTAGATTGTGTGTGACTGAAAGAGTAAGGAACAAAGTGATAGTGTGAACAACAGAATTAATATTTTACTTAGAAAAGTCAAAGCACAGAAGATGATGTGTGCAGGCAGTGAACTGCTGTCTGAGCATAAATAACTGTTACGATTCTAAGCAAATTCAGATTGACAACAAACAAAAGCTGTTGTGTTTCAGTGATAAGTGACTACTGAATTGGACAGGCCAGCTCAGCGGCACTGGTCTATCTGATACTGCCCTCTGTTGTCAAAACAAACATAGTACAGGCATTTGTGTAAGCAAGGACCAAGCCCTTACTCACATTATGTCCAGTACTTTAGTGCCTTGGCATTTTAGATTTTGTCCTGTTGTTTTCTGCTTTTCTTAATTCCTTCAACAATGAAATGATAAGAGGAAATGAAAGGAGAAAAAAAAGAGGAAAAACATGCAACAAATGTTTCTAGACACCAAATTTGTGTTTTGTTTTTTGTTAAAATTCCATATTAGCCAAAAGGACACATAAATGAAGGCAAGTGAAATGGATCGATATGTGTGGACCTAATCTTTCTCAATCATCTATGTTGAAGGCCTATAATGCCTTCTGATAAGTTGTCATCATGAAATCTTTAAAGTTATTCAACATGAACAATTCAGAGTTGTTTAAACATAAGTGGAAACTAATAATTTATTTTATTGTCAAGAGTCCAAAGAGATCTCTTTGGATTTCTTTTGTCCAACCTAAAAAAATTCAGTTTACACTGGTATAACAAAAGACAAAAGCAGGTGGATAATAATAGACTCCAAAGGCCTAATGTGCTGATTCTTTGTCATACCTTGCTGACTTGAGTCAGGCTGCCGTTGAGTCGATCTGGGTGCTCCTCATCAGAAAGACGCCTGTTGCAAAAGGTGTCCATGGAGTGGGAGGAGATGGTATGGCAGAGCTCCTCGAAGGAGTAATCTCTGTCCCGGCACTTTTTGATCTCATGGAGCAGTTTGGACAACTCACTTGTCACAGCATCATCTGGGGAGGCATGAGAGGAGGAAGATGAGATATTAAAAAAAAAAAAATCTGTCCCCATTTCCCTCATAGCACCAGTATGAAGCCAATCCATATTACTACTGCTACAAAACTTACATAATTGACAGAAGCACAGATCCATCCATGTTTTATTCCTTTGATTTATACAAAATCAGACTGAGTAGTTTAAAGGAGGGTAGAAAATATAATTCATCTATCCTGTTTGCTTGATTTAACAGTAGAATCAACGTTTGCCAAAAACCAGAGGCAGAACTAATGGTTGAAAAACACCTCTTCTGTCTCCCTTCTGCACTGCAGCGCTCAGGAATATTCTGCAGGGCAAACTGTACTAATCACTTTCTCTCATCTCCCTCCAGGAGTCTCCAAAGTAATCAAGGTAATTATGGTATCTGCTGACAGTCGGAGAGGAGAGCAGATCATCAGGAACTCAGCTTGTTGCCATATCGTACTTGGAACACAGGGGGCAGCACTGGACAGTGAATATGCATGACTGTTTTCAGATGCAGTAGCAGCTTTTCTCCACTGAAGGAGCTGCTCTCCATGGCTGGATTTTAACTCTATAATTATTACAAAAAAAAAGATAGTCCAACTCTGAATGAGACCTTTATGCTGATTCTGAGGTATATTTTAAAACATATTCTGCACCTCAAGCAATTTTGTTTTTATTCCAGTATGGGTTGTTGCTTCACAATTCTGATGCTGGTTTACCCCCTTTTCAAAAGGAAATTTTAGTACTGACCATTCAGAAAAATGAAACCTGTTTATTTAAACAAAGTCATTTAATTATATTGTGGTTGTTAAATCACTGCGAACGTTGACTTACTCTTGTGTCTGAGGGAAGGGGAGGCAGAGGGCGAGGGGACACAGGTTCGAGGTGCAGGGACGGGACACTTGCGAACAGGCTCCTCCATGATACTTCTCTTCTCCATTTCATCCGTCATATACTCTACAGACACATGGAGACAAGAGATGGCGGTAGAGAGACATGATAAAAGATAAGTATAAAAGACAGTGTGGAAATTTATTCAAAATATGGAAAAAAAAGGAGAGAAAGAGGCACAGGTCAGAAGAAGAGTTTCTGGGAAAATGTAAAAATGTAGTCGAGGTGGTGGTGGTGGGGCATTCTACTAGATCAATAAACCGTAATATCACGGCCGTCGGCATGGTAAACAACTTGTGCTGCATTTGGATTGCACTTTTTGCTGTACTGCAAATTCAGTTCACAGCTTGTGTTAATAGAGCACTCTGCTGTTCATAATAACAAAAGAGAAGAATCAGGTGGGCAAGGAAGAGGAATGAGGAAAAGAGGAGGAGGACAGAAAGCAGGCTCAGGTGTGGGGGCAGAGACTAAGACTGGATAATAAACATTAGCATTAGGAGCTGAAAACACACAAACGCATTTGCACAGTGAAATCGTGCCACAGCTTCCCTGCAGAGCTCTAATGAAGAAGCCTGTTAATGTCAGGAAGTGTGTGTGCATGAGTGTATATGTGTATAATTCTACTACTACTATGAATTCTGACATTCAGCTCAATAATTGTGATACACAATAACATCTGCATTCAATAACACGGAGTATGGGAATGTGCATCACAGTAAGAAATGAAAGATCAAAATGCTGAGCTTTATTCCTCTGTAGTCATTCATAAACAGCAGAACACATGCAGCCTTAGTGTTACAGCTTATCTGCTGCACAGCACTGTAGCACAAAAGTTGCTGCTGGGCAGTAAAAAGTAAACTATTAATGATTTTGAACAGTGAGTTGAGTTTTCAGCCCAAATTCAAATAAGATTCTTTCCATAGTGAGGTGCCTGTGGCAACAAGAAAGGCCCCCAGCTGCTACAATCGAGTCAATGACAGGTTTCTTGCCTTTGTGTGTGTGTGTGTGTCCTTTTCCATCTCCTCTCCAACAGGAAATGGCATGCAGCTGATCTTTTCACTAAGTTACAGCTGTGTCCTTTTTCTTCCTCTCTCTCCTTCCTCACACTCTGACATTCAGTCTCCTTTTTATCCAAATCTGTTTCCAGCACTTGTTTATTGAGAATAGAATTTGATGGCTGCTATTCTTGACCAATATCTGCTATCACATGGATTTTAGACATTTAAAAAACTACAGTGGGTTTATTCATATCTATAAATGTGTTTTCATATTTGATTCTGCACAACTTTAAGCCTTTAAATTTCAGCAGCACAAATGTGCCCTGCATATCTATGAATAAGTCAGACAAGGGGACAGTATTTTATTTGCATCACTTGGGATTTGAGCAGCAGAATTCAATAGATGCTGGATTAAGTTAAAGTGAAAAGGACTGCATTAACCTACTGAACCTCAATGACTCACTAGAACAAACTCATCCTGAGCAACCAAGGTTTGTTCAAATCCACCAAAACCTAATTAATTAAAGGCAAGAATCCAAAGATTAAGACATTGTACAAAATAGTGTACAAGACATAGCATATTTTTATTTGATGAAATGGTTCTACTACAAAAACCACGGAGTCTAGGGTTTGCACACGTCTGATATCTGGTGCTAAACAAATACCATACTGGTAGATGAGAGCATTTTGCTGAACATAGTCGCTTGCAGCTACTAGGAGCTGGGTTGGCAGGGTGAACTGTAAAGTTATGGGACAAAACTAAAACAATAAGGTGAAAGAACTTCAAACACTCAATAAGCTGCAGGTTTGGGCATAAATTCTCTGTGGATTTGTCAACACCAGCTAAGTTAGGGCTAATAAACAGGGCAAACTTGGTGCTAAAGGATTAAAACAGTGTATATACAGATGGATTTCCCTTCATTTTTTGGATCAAGTTATACTGAGGGTGTCCACAGGGAACGCTGTCTCCAATGTGCTTGCAGCATTCTCAAGGACTCCTCTCACCCTGTTCATAAACTGTTTGACCTCCGACCCTCTGGGAAGCGCTTCAGGAGCCTCTGGACCAAAACCAGTAGACTCAGGAACAGCTTCTTCCCCACAGCTGTCTCCTTACTAAACTCTGTCCCCCGTTGTGCCACTGCCTTCCTCTATACCACTACACACACCTCACCCCTTCTCATCTCTCCTCCCGAGACTACTGCAATACGCTTCTGTTACCTGTAACACTGTAGTGATCTGTTATTTTACACATACTCACAGGATACTGCTCTGTTATTCATTCTACCCCTCCATTTCTGCCTGCCTTTATCTCCCCTACTTTAAATCATCCCCAACTGCTTGCCTAACATAAATCCACAGACCACAGAAGGACAGATAGTGAAGGCCACTAAACCACAGATTACAGCGTTCATGCCAAGCCCCAGGACAACACTGTTGTTTGAAGGTGCAATCTGGAGAATCCATGGGTATCCGGCAACTGTGGTGGAACAAGTACTCAGATTACTAAGCAAATATAGCAGTACCACAGTGTAAAAATACTTGGTTACAAGTAAAAGTCCTGCACTCAAAATGTTACTCAAGTAAAATGACAAAAGTATTGGCATCAAAATATACTTAAAAGTACCAAAAATAAAAGTACTAGAGCCCTAGAACACACTGCCTTTTGTCCAAAGAAACTCTGTAAAGTACATGCAATCTAGTAAAGTTCAACAAAATAATCAGCAAACATTCATTTTGTAACATTCTTTTGACAACCATCATAGTCAAGACCCAGCTGAGTTTGAGGGAACAGCAGAGGATTTGAAATAACACTGTATTGTGTTAATATCAAGAAAATAACCTAACGGGACTGGAGCTGTGCAACCGTGCAGTGATCCACTGTAGCAACTAAAGGAACACCCACTGTTTCCCTAGTGGAAAGCAAGTTATCTGCTCACAACAACAGGCACAATGTCATATTCTACACATGCTAGCACATGTTAAAAACATCTGAAAAAGAAGACAACCAACCAAATGTGCACTTGCACAACCTACTAGTCTGCAGGATTCATCAAGTTCAATCTTCATTGTCAACCAACAGGTAACATGTTTCTACAAATTCACAAAATGAAGTAATATACTGATATTGTTAATGATTCTGTTCTTGTAAACTTCTACATTTTACTGTACAATTAAAAAAACAAGTAGAACTGAATGCTGAACCCTTAAACTATGTTTTGTTATACCACATTTATGGTACATGAATATTCTATTTTTTGCTCCTACAATTATCCAGTCTCACAAGTAAAATTAAAATTACCTTGGATAAGAGCAGTGATCTGCTGGGATTTCGGTGCAGGATGTTCTCTCAGAATCTCCAGAGCCGTTCTCTCTTGACTGTCCGTGAGATTGGTATCGATTCCTGAAACACACACAGACATAACACAATACAAGAACAACCAGGAGGTCAAAGGTCAGACACCTATGGGTGTCACTACACCTACAGTATGACCTTGCCCAAAGAACTACCCCTACTCATACTTGCTCAAACCCACACACATTGACCACAATATTACATATATGATGTACATGTACATACACAAACTCAGACCCAGATCTGCTGATACCCACTCAGCCACAAAACTCCAGTCAGCAAAACTTGAATGACTTGCAGTCACCAGAGGATGAACGTAGGATTTAATTAATTCATGAAGGCTCCATATTAAAAGCTAATGTGCTTTATGTATTTATAACTTTTGTACTCACTCTCACACTTGACAGCAAAGACAAGTCTCACAAACTCAAGGACATGCAAACAAGAGACACAGACACAGACACAGACACAGATACTAATAAAGTCTCATACAGAGAATCACACAAACAAACTAAACAGTGTGCATGAAAATCAATCTTCTGGAAGTTAATTTTCCAAGTCTATTCCACTATTAAGTTCTCATTTACCTGACTGTTGGCCTGAGTGGTATCGATCATCTCTCCTAACTCTCAGCAAGGAAGCAAATACTGTAAATGCATTTGCCAAAATGTGTCCGTTTTCCTTCAAGCAAAATGGATGAGAATTTCTAAAGGGGCTATGGATTAAATCATAACCTCTACTCCATGTCATACAACATCTCCAGAGGTAGAAAGTAACCAAATAAATTTACTCAAGTATTGTAATTAAGTACAGTTTTGAAGTTTTTGTCCTGCACTACACTTAAAAACTTTGCAGAATCTGATGGATAAAACTCCAAAGTTACCTATCAGTAATTCATATTACTTGGCATATTTTATGTAGTTAAATTAATATGGAGCCAAACTCAGCTGACATTGGGTGAGAGGCAGAGTACACACTAACCCACAGGTGTCAAACTCAAGGCCCGCGGGCCACATCCGGCCCAGCGCACAATTACATCC